AAGAAATCCTATGGTTCTGGAAAATATTTCCCTGTAACCAGGAGATGAGGATTAGGCGCCTAAAGCTTTATCAGACGTGGGGTCGACGTCCTGAGCACCATACCCAGGTGCTAGTTGCTCTTTTCGGGGAGTTTCAGTTCGACACTAGGCCGCAGCTTTGCGCAGGACGTCCATCCCAATACGCCTCGCCGTGGCTGCAGCAAATGGCCGCGGACTTGGACCAAGCAGCAGAGTTATTGCCAGATTGCATGATCGAGCCGATTGCTTTGAATCTAGCCCTCTTCGCTGACAAGGAAGCGATGGAGGATTTCTGTATGATTGATTTCACGGAGCTGAGGAGCCGAGAGTTCGGCAGGCGGATCCCGCCACCTGGATTCCAAGAGCGGGCTTCGTCACCAGTTGTCGTTCCGCCACATGAGCGGGGCCCAGCGGAAGCCTTCATATGCAGGCATAAGTAAAAATGGGGTTGAATGCGGGGCCAGTTTTCTTACGAGGCCAGCGTATTTATCACGCATAAAGTCGGCACATCATGTTCGTAACCTCTACTTCTTTATCACTCCGACGAATACTTGTATCAGTTGTCGTCAAACATTCGCATCGCAGAGAACAGCAGCACAGCACTTATCGCGCGCACTTAAACGTGGGCACTGCCAAAGAGAAGCAGCACGCACCCTCCTTCCTCTCAAAATGCCCAGATCACTACAATGTTTATGCTGTGAATACGAAGGCGGCACCCTCGATGATCTTTGCAGCCATCTCGTGTCGAACCACTTGCTAGGCAGTATTGGACCGACCCCAGAGAGCCAACCAGCCAGCAGATATGCCAGAGGGGATGGACCAGGAACCGAAGCTCGTCATACCGTCGCGGCGCAGCCAGTCCATCACCGCTGGAGGCGGGCGCAAACCAGACGACCAGGAGGAAAAGGGCGAGGGCGCGGCCAGGGACAAGAAGAAGCACAAAGGCGGCAAGGACGACATCATGCTGCCCATGGTGAAGCTGGTGCTGACCAACACGAAGGACATCGCCGACCTCGGCGCCCTGCTGTACACGAAATGCGAACTACCAGTGGCGGTGGGAGTGGTGGCGGTCAGCCAGCAAGCAGGCAAGAAGTACAACGACGACTCGGCGGCCCTAAAGGCAAAGGAAAAGGCAGGCGAGAAGCAGGATCACAAGTCGAGGGGCGCGGCGCACGTTCAGATATTCATGGCAGCATTCGGATACGGAGCTACGAGGACGGCGTCGGCAGGATCAACGCAAACGGAGGAAGCCAAGCTGAGCGAGGAGATGCTGCAGTTCTTCAACGAGGTGCTGAGCAAGTTCGACGGTCCGAACGCTGTCGGCCAGCTGATTACGCACTTCAGGGTGAAAGTACACAAGAAGGAGGAGGGCTCGACACCGATGTGCACACTGATGTGGTACGCGGACCCACGCCACAGCCACTACACGGAGGTGCAGAAGTGGCTCATCAAGCTCGTGGAGTTCGAGGGTGGCAAGAGGCTGGTCGGCGCCCCGCCGCGCGGCCCGCTCGAGCGGATCCTCAGCAAATATGTCGACGAGCACTCGAAGAGGTAGAGGGACTCCCGAGAGACCTACAGACGAGTTCGCGCCTGGCTGAGCTGAGGTCAAGAGGCTTTGTTATCCCCCCTGCTTCCTCCTCCCTTCCGTCCTCGTCTTCGGCTCCTCCTCTCACTCAAAGCTCGAATACACAGCAGGCAGTTTTTGATCCCCCGAATTTTTTGGACGGCCCTCCGACAGTAAATATCCCTAGGAGGCCGCGTGGAGGGGGGAAAGGAAAGCATGGTCGCTCGAGAGGTAAAGGTCCCAGCAAAGGCAAGGGTCCGCGTACCTTAGGCTAGCCGAGCCTCCGGGGTGCTGCGTGCATCGGGCTTGTGCTGGCGGGGTCCGTGCGGCATCTGGCCGAGAGTGGATCGTATCTTTTTAGCAGTTTACGTCGGCTTCGTAGGTTAAGCCTCCTCAGGGAACAACCCCGTGGGCAGTTAAGAGTGCTACGCTTTTTCGCTTCGATTTCGCGTTGCCAGTGCTCTCCTTCGGATCTGGTCCTCATGAGCTAGAAAGAAAAGAAAAAACCTCTTGGGGGCCTCTTGGGGGCCTCATGGGGGCCTCTTGGGGCCTCTTGGGGGCCTCTTGGGGGCCTCTTGGAGGCCTCTTGGGAGCCTCCTGGGGGCCTCTTGGGGCCATCTTGGGGCCTCTTGCGACCTCCTCAGAAACGCAAATAAGCGCTGCCTCCTGAGAAGGACAAAATGACTCCAAAACCTTCGTACAATCAATGGTTTTGCTATGAAGGAAGAGGAGCGCGGCCCCCTCAGAAGGCCAACATGGGGCCCAAACCCTAGTAAAATCCATGTTTCTTGCTTCAACGAAGCGCAGAGGGGCCAAACTGTGCCCCCCCGTCGGGGCCAGAATCCTCGTGAGGGTCGTCGTTTTTTGGCCCTCCCAGGAGTCGGAAAAGACCCCTCCAACGACCCGCGGGACCCCCTCTCCAGGTCCAGGGGGGGGGGGGGGTAGGGGGAGGGGCAAACCCTTCCCCGAAGGGGAAGAAGGGGGGTTGGGGATTGAGAACAGAGAAAGCTCGCTAAACCACACACGCCCAAAGGGCTGGTGGGACTTTCCAGCCGCCCAGGGACAGGCGCCCCCGACAGCGAAACAGTTTATTTTATACCGTTCTGCGCTCGCTGAAGACCGTGCGGAGGAAGCCCGCGCGGGGAGCTCGGCCTTCTTCCGGAGGGGAGAAAACACACAGACAGAATGAACCGCCGAGCCCCAGGAGAATATGGGAACATCTGGGAAGCGGGAGGGAAGACGAGAACCTAGAAAATACGAAAAAAAGATGTCGAATCCTGTGATTTGCGTGTATTTATTTGTGCGTCCCAGGGCCCCTTCATTTCTGCCTGGGCTTCTTCTCGAAGGAGCAAAAGCGGCATAAACAGACACTTTTTGCGAACAGCGCAGGCTTCTTGGATCCACGCTGGCCCCCCCCCCGCGGCGGCGCCTCTGGCGCCGCCCCTGGCGCGCTCCGCGCGCCAGGGAGGGGGGCCAGCGCGGATCAAAGAACTCCGCACGGACCGTCGAAAGTTTGTGTGGATGCCGTGTTCTGTTCTACGTGCGGAGCAAGTCCGCGTGGAGTGCTCGGCTTCTGTCCGGGCGCCCAGTCAACCCGCGTGGTAAGGATGGGCAACCTTCCCAAGACAACCCTTAAGTCGGGCCCGTCCCTCTGCAGGAGGAAGATTCAAAAATAGTCAAAAACAGTCTGGGGACTTTTTTCTTATTATTTTTACCATGTTGAAGCATTTTTTAACTACTTTTCATGTTTCGTCGAAAATCTCCCTGTAGGGGGAGACGCCCGACTTAAGACTACCCCTGCATCTTTGCCCCTTCGGCCCATCCTTGGTAACCTTCGCTGGCCGGCTTCGTTCGAGCAAGAGCATTAACACGGCCCTCCAAGGCCCGTGCGTCCTTACCGCGCATCCTTATTATACGGGTTGACTGCTCCTCGTCTGGATTCGGACTCCTGATAGAACGCCCAGTCCGCACTGACTGCTCGGCCTCCGTCTGGGCTCACTCCGTCAGGACTCAGCCCCTCCTGGTAGGATGCCATGAGGAACTCTGCGCGGAGTGCTCGGCTTCCGTTTGGGCTCACTCCGTCTGGGCGTAGCCTCTTCTGTTCGGCCCTTGCGGAATAAGTCCGCACGAAGTGCGCGACCTCCGTCTGGGCGTATTCCGTTCTACACTCAGCCTCTCCTGACGGGGAGAGAGGGAGGGAGGATAGGGGGAGAGGCCAGTGGAACCCCAGGCTGCGTCACCGGTGCTAAGCACTCCTGGACGCACCGCCAACGGCGCATCGAGGTGTGCGTGTGTTCCCTGCCCACGCCATGCTTTATGCAGTTGTCGTAAGTGTTGGACTGCTGCGTGCAACGCAGGCGACCTGACCCCTCACGAGTCCGATGCCAAACGCCCGGTCCAGCCTACGGACGCTCCTGGTGGTGCGACAGAGTTCACCGAGCGCGTTCCACTACTCGCAAAGTGCCTACTCGCACACGTCCGACAGACACATGTCTGCTCTGATGTCACTTACCGCAGATCCCCCGCGGCGGATGCGGGCCACTTGCGGGTTGTCCCTTTGCGAGTAGTGGAACGCGCTCGTCGAAGAGTGGGAGCCCGATCGTACGAAAGTGAGGACGGAGGCGGTGAGCAAACGTTCGTCGCCCTCGCTTGGCGTCCTCTGGCGGGCGGGGCCGCCGGGTCGCTCGTGGGCTCCAGGCGCGCGGAGCGGCGGGCAGGCTCGCGACCCCAGCAGCGATGCCGCTGCGCACCAGGGCTCCACCGGCTCCAGCTGGAGCAAACGAGGGCTGGGCTTGAGTCGGACCTGTCCCTCTACAGGAGGAATATTCAAACATAGTCAAAAACTAGTCTGGGGACGATGTTTCGACTGTGTTCTTGCCATTCTGGGGCATTGTTTGACCATTTTTAAATTTTTCGTCCAACATCCCCCTGTAGGGGGACAGGCCCGACTTAAGAATGGGCTATGTTTCGGCCCACTGCTACAGTCTCGGGCGCGCCAGCGTGCCCCAGCTTGTGAGTTCTCCAGCGTCCCGCCCATCGGGGCCCGGAGAGGCGGGAGGCGGAGGGAGCTTAGCAGACGAGGACGGGCGAGTCAACGAATGGGGCTCTCGACCTCCGCCGCCCCTCCGTCGCCATGAGGGCAAGGGGTCCCGAGGGGCAACGGGTCCTGGACCCCAGAAAAATCCCCATCACGAGCCCCTACATTCGGAATCTCTTGTTGGGCCTCGGACGTCGTCGTCGTCGTCGCCGTCGTCGTCTTTGTCCTCGTCTTCGTCTTTGTCGTCGCCATCGTCGTCGTCGCAGTCGGTCGGCGTCGACGTCACCGCCGTCGTCGAGCCCAGAAGCTGCGCAGGCCCTCGGGGGGCCTTTTTGCCTCCAGGGCCCGCCTCCGGCCCCGCCCAGCCCCCGCACCGCGCAGGAGCAGTTCAAGTGCTTCTGAGCCGCCCTGCCGTCGCGCCTCGCAGGAGCGCCTCGGGCCTTCCTCCGCCCTCCTCCCCCTCCTCTCCCTCCCACCCCCCTCCTCCCCCCCTCCTCTCCCTCCCACCCTCCTCCTCCCCCTCCTCCCTGCTCCCCCTCTTCCTCTCCCTCCTCCTCCTCCGCCCCCCCTCCTCCTCCTCGTCCTGCTCCTCCTCAAGTCCAAGCGGCCCAAGGCGCTTAGATCCTTTTGGCTCGAACGCGTCATGGAGCCGCGCCCCGCAATTCTACGCAGCGCTTGAGTGGCATCGGGTCATCTGCGACACGTTGCGGAGCCGGTCCTGGTGGCGAAGCGGGGCCAATTCGGTTATTGTTTCTTCTTTTGGTATGCATATTGGGCAGAGGCGAACATATTGGAAAGTCCATCGTAGCATGTGGCATGGTTGTTCCGCAACGGGGTGCTCCTGCTCCAAACGGTTGTCGATCTTGTCCCTTCCGCTCGTTCGGTGCTTCAGAAAGTGTGTCATTGGTGGTTCCTCTTGTCACATATACTTACCAGCCTGGAACCAATCCCTATCCCTAAACTGGGCATCGCCTCATCACAATGCCAATCTTAGGGATTCCCTTATTTTTTGAGGGCGCATCCCTGAGATTGTCATCGCCTTTTGGCGTGTCAATCTCAGGGACAGGGATCAGTTCGAGGCTGGTAATACATGCTGGCACGAGCACGTGCTTTTTTATCAGACATACCAGCACCTCTTGATCGAGGCATAGCCTTCCAGGAGATCCGCACTCCGCGCCAGCAGCGGCACATAGATGGACGGGCAGGCGGCGGGGCCCTTCGGCTCGTAGTCGCCTGCGGTGCCACAGCGGGTATCGCTCGAGGGTTTGGGCTGAATTGGGCACTTCCCATTGCATCAAGCAGTGGCGAAGCGTCCTGGCTCGCCTTAGCCCTACCAAGCAATGTTCCAAGAACGTTTTGTGGTTCCCACGAAATGCTCGTAGAACATTTCTGGTGGAGATGGTCTCGGTTTAACACATCGGGTTCATGTTCTAAGAACAGTGTTTTTGTCCTTGTAACACTTTTGGGTTCTGAGAACATTTCGTGGTAGGACTATAGGAATGCCGGGACGGTCGGTCCCTGCTCAACTACAGGAGGCATATTCAAGAATAGTACGAAAAACGTATGGGGACGATGTTCTGACATTTTTGACCATACCTGGATATTCTTGACGATATAAAATAGACATTTCAAAGCCCGCCTGTTGGAGGACGTGCTTGAGCTTGAGGCTTGGGCCACAGCACCCTACCAGCGCGCGCGAGGCCGGCATGCAGTCGCAGTGGGCGACGCCGCTGCGGAACGAGGCGGGGAGTCCGAACATTCAAGCAGTGGCGAAGCGTCCTGGCTCGCCTAGTGAGCGTTTTTAATTCATTGTTTTGCCGATCGGCGCGGGCCCTCGCAGCGCCCCCTCCCCCCCCTGTGGAGTAGATCGTGGCTGTTGTTTGGCGCCTGTTTCGAGCGGGTGGATTCTCCCCCAGAGGCCGCACTGCTGCAAGCAGTAGCACTAAGCAGAGGTTTGGAGCCAGACCCCCCCCCTACCCGCCCCTTCCGCCCAAGGTCGAACCGCCGAATAAGAAAACAATCACCGTTTGCGGGTTGCACGAAAGGTTCTTTGAACATGTTTGGTTGATACTGTTCTGTTAAAGCACGCCAGAGTTGTGTTCTAAGAAGATGGCGCTAGGTCTTATAAAGCTTTTGTGTTCTAAAAACATGTCGTGGTAGGCCTACAGGAATGCCAGGACGGTCAGTCCCTGCTCAAAAAACATGCGCTGACCGTCATCAGCTAAACTGTTCGGATCAGCGCGTGCGGGAAAGGCGGGCAACGCGTTGTAGTCCAAATCGTACACACGCTTATCTCAAGGAGTGGTGCCATATGAAACGTGCTTGGCTTTGTTGTATTTGTCCATGTACGGCAGGCGGGAAGAGCAATCAGTATGGGATGCAGCGTGGTGTGCACGTGCCGGTTGGCGGGGGATCTCAGCCTTGTATTAGGGGCCCCCAAACGGTGTGGTGACCACACCGTGTGGTGAGTCGGTGGGGGTTCGGGGTCACCGTACGGTTTTGGTACTCGGGTCGTTCTCCGAGGGCGTCTCGGGCGACTGGGGCACCCGAGGTCCCAAAACCGTGCGTTGACAGACCGTGCGGTGAGGATCTTGGGGGATTTCGAGGTCACCGCACGGTCTGTCGCCGCACCGTTTCGGGACTCCGAATTGTAAATCCCGCGGCTGCGGGGGCCCGGTTTCACGTGCCTGCGCAGTGTGGTTCCTGCTGTTTGGAGGCACGTATCTGCAATGCTCCTCAAACTGTCGGCATGGTCCTCTGCATGGGCGGGTGGTGTGCTATGTCTTCCTGTTTGTCGCGTCGCTAGGCAAGAGTAGGGAGCTGCATGCGCGGACTCATCGCTACGCGATGGCAGAATCCCTAAAACTCCCCCGCTCCTCCCTCCTCCCTCCCCGCCCTCCCCCTACCTCCTCCCCCTCTTCATCTCCCTCTTCTTCTCGTTCCTCCCCCTCTTCCTCTCCCTCCTCCTCCTCCTCCTGCCTCCTTCCCATCTTCCTCTCCCTCCCCGTCCATCTTCTTCTCCCTCCCCACCCCTCCTCCTCCCTCCTCTCCCTCTTCCTCCCCCTCTTCTTCTCCCTCCTTCGTCCTCCCTCCCCTCCCTCCTGCCTTTTCGAGGCTCGTGGATGCAGAGATCGACGCCGCGCCCGCGCAGGGCGCCTTCCCCTCGCGGGGCACGTGTGCAGCCGGAGCCCTGCCACGCTCGCCGTGGGTGCTCGCGTCTTCCGGGTCCAGGTCCCAAGGTGCGTGAAGTCGGGCGTGCTCCTCCGCAGGAGGCGTGCTCCAGAGCGGCTCTGTTATAGGCCTAGTCTGGGGGCGATGCGTCGTGCTCTTCGGGCTGCGTTTCGTTTGTCTTGCTGGGGCTTTTTGTCCCACTTTCAGTCCCCAAGGCCCGCCTGCACGAGGGCATGCCCGACCTAGAGCCTCCCGAGGCGACACAGCCGCCGAGGACCGACTCGCCGGCCCGAAAACCTCAAACCGCCAGCGCCGACGTGAGCCTGTTGGACTCGAAGTCCTGGATGCCCGTGGTGGCGAGGCGAGGCGAGGCGAGGCGAACGCCGACTCCGCACCGCGCGCGCGCGCGGGGCGCCTCCTAGAGAGGACGGCGGTGGAGCCGTAGCTCCTCAGAGGAAATCCGTCCATCTCCTTCTGGGCCCGTGGTGCTCGACAGGACGGCTTCATAGGCCATCGAGCGCGGGGTGGTGCCTTGGCCCGCGGAGAGGCCCCGCAAGGGTGCGCTTCGGGTGCTGGCTGTGGGCGGTGGCAAGCGGCGCGCCGGGCAGGCCGGAGCAGAGCGCTGGGGGCCTTGAAGCCCGCGCGCGGCCTCCCGGGGGTGGTCCTCCCTGTGGGATGCTCCTTCCGGGGGGCCTTCCCGGGTGCCACCGAGCAGATCCCTGCAGGCCTATCGGGGGCGGCAGAGAGGGGGGTGATGACTGGGGGGGAGGGTGGATATCATGGCGGGGGCCACGATGTTTCCCCAGATTTCATGGCGCCTCTTCTTATCTCATTACGTCCCTCTCCCCCCCGCTGGGCCGCGCACATGCCGCCGGTCATGATTTGCACCCCCCCCTCTTGGACACCCCCCTCTTGGCCGCTCCCGAGCCTAGGTCGACCCTAGGTCGACTCGAGCTCGACTCTAGCTCGACTCACGTTCGGCTCAAGTTCGACTCAGGTCGACGGAGGTTCGACGCACTCTCGACGCACGAGTGGAGCGATTGGCTCCAGGAAGTTCCCCAGAACGAGCGTCTAATCCTTGGCGAGGCTTGGAGTTGGGCTGGTCCATCCTTGGGCCGGTCAGGGCCGGGTATGAGGTTGCCTCCCGGCGCGCTGGTCTTGTGGCGGCTTCCAGAGGAGGACCTCTACGGGCGTGTTTTCGTACACGCCCACGGGTCAGGAGGCCATACTTGGGCACAGCTTTGGCTAGCGCTCCTAAGTGCGTGGTCCACGCCGGATTGGCCCGCTTCAGAGGCCGTCTACAAAGAGGTGGCTGTGCCTCAGTACGAGGTGCATGTGCGGGCCCTCATGGAGGCGCGTTGCGAGCAGGAGTTGACGCGGCAGGCAGTTGGGCTGGTGAGGCCGCTTCTGGTCCTCGCTCTCGGCCCAATCCCACTGCCGGATCTTGCCAAAGCCTTCAAGCAGGGTTCTTTTTCGACGTCTTACCGGGCCATCGTTCGCCGAGCAGGCTTCGTAGGCGGCTGGTCGCGCTCAGTCACTCCTTAGTTGCTTCTTCCTCAGCGCGGAGGAACGGCTTGTGCTCTCTGTGGAGAGCAGGCGCTGAGCCCTACTTCTCATGCTCTTGGGAGCTGCAACCGCACGGAGGGCGACAGGCGCACCTTCTGGGAGGTCCGCGGCGCCACGGCTCCGTCCTTGCAGAGAGAGGCGGCGGCGGCCACGGCGGTTCTGTCGGCAGGTCCGGCGGACAGCGGGCACGAGGAGGCGGCGATGCTGGCGCTCCTCGTGGAGAAGGAGGCGGGTCGTTCCTGGGCGGCCGCCGGCAAGAACAATCCCCCGCTCACCTCCCCTCCCTCCCGCCCCCCCTCCGCCTGGCGATCTGGGTGGGCGGGTCGGATCGGGCTGGGCTGGGCCTCCCCTCTTCGGCTTGTCCTCTCTCCCTCCCTGTCACCCTGTGGGGTGGTTTTCTCCTACTCCTCCTCTTCCTGTCACCGTCCCGCACCTGCCTGCGAGGTGCGTCGACCAGCGAGTCGACCCGGCAGCGCAGCGGGGACCAGACGAGCTGCCTTCCCCTCCCGCGCGGGGAGTTTCTGAGTTGCCTTTTCGTGCTTCGCTGTGGCCGTGGTCTCGAGGAGGAGCCTGCTTGAGGAGCTGACTTTTCGCGAGTTTCGAGCGGATTTGTCCAGGATTGGAGCTGGGCCCCCTGGTGGCGCCCTTTGCGCTGCCCCTGGTGCGTTTCGCGCTCTAGATGTGGGGTCCCAGCGCCGATCCACCAAAATCCGCAAAGTCTTCCAGAATCGCTCAGCTCTGCAAGCCCTCCCTTCGTTCCCCTCGAGCGCTGGCGGTCGGACTTCAGAGCCGTCGCAGCAGTGTCGCTTCGGAACCCTCTCCGCGGTCGTGGTCCCTTACTATAAGGAAGTTGCGTTCGAAGCTTCCGCATGCCAACTAAATGGAAACACACCTACCTACCAACCTCCTCCTCCCGCCTCCTTTTCATTCTCCCTCCTCCACCTTTCCCTGTGCCTCCCCCTCCTCCTCCTCCTCCTCCTCCTCCTCCTCCTCCTCCTCCTCCTCCTCCTCCTCCTCCTCTTGCGTGTCGTTTGCTCCTCCTCCTCCTCTTCCTCCCCACCCGACCCCCTCCTCCCTCCTCCCTCGCCTTCTTCCTCCTCCACATCCTCCCCCTTGTCCTCCTCCGCAAGCTTTCGAGCAATGCACCCGCGAACTTCAGAACAGCCTGCGTGCGCGAGTCAAGTGGCGCAGTCGTTTGTTTCGCCCCGTCCGAACCCCATCATGATCAGGGGCCTCTTGACTGCAAAGTCGGATCTCTTGGGATGCCCCCTGGGGGCTGCTTGGTGGTCTCCATGGCCTTCTTTGGGGGGGTCTCTGGGGATCGTTGGACGCGCCTCGGGGGCCTCTGGAGGGATCTCTGGGCAATCTTGGGTGGAGGGCTAGAAATTCTAGACGCTTCGCGTCTCCCCACCAGCCCGTCCAGAAATGAGCCCCAAGGGAGTGGAGGTGATGAGAGAAGCGGGTGAGCATGCAGAAGAACAAAGGGCGGGTAAGCCGCCATATGGCCCAAGAGGGAGAGGATGTAGGAGGAGTCGTCGTCGTCGTCGTCGTCGGAGTAGGAGGAGGAAGAGGAGGAGCAGGAGGAGGAGCAGGAGAAGGAGAGGAGATGGAGGAGGGCGAGGACGAGGAGGACGAGGAGGAGAAGGAGAAGGAGAAGGAGAAGAAGAAGAAGGAGGAGGAGGAGGAGGAGGAGGAGGAGGAGGAGTAGGAGTAGGAGGAGGAGGAGGAGGAGAGGGAGGGGGAGGAGGGAGGAGGAAGAAAAAGAGGAGGAGGAGTAGGAGGAGGAGGAGGAGGATGAGGAGGACAATGGCAAGCTTGGGGGCCCCTTGGGCCGTCTTTGGGGCCTCTTGGCGGTCCCGGGGGCCTCTCGCGTATCTCGGGGAGCCTCTTGGGGCCTCTTGGGGATCTCTTGGGAGTCTCTTGGAGGCTTCTTGGGCGCCTCTTGGGGCGTCTTGGGGCTCTGTTGGGGCGCTCTTGGGGCGCTCTTGGGAGCCTTCCGGCCGCTTTGGGGGCGATCTTGGACGAGATCTATCAAAGAAGAGGGAGGTGTCAATTTGCGTTGCCCCTGTAGAGTGCCTCGAATCGCCTCTTGGGCCCCCCAAGAGGCCAACATTCTTCCAAAACTATGAAAAAAAACAATGTTTTGTGCTTTCTCGCCTTTTCGCTCTTGGAGCAGTCTTGGGCCATCTTGGACGCCCCAGCGACCCGCGGAACCCTCCGTCCAGGTCCAGGGGAGGGGGCAGGGGGAGGGGTAAACCCCTCCCCGAAGGGGAAGAAGGGGGTTGGAAGAGGAAGCTCTCTAGACCACCGGCGCCCAGAGGGCTGGTGGGATTTCAGCTCGCCCTTAGTGGGGCCGTCTTGGGGGCGCCAAGGGATGGAGCTGTGGCAACCCACAGCGCCTCTGTGCAGCACCTTGTCAGCGAGGGAGGCCAGAGCCAGCCGCGGAGTGCATGCACGTCTGCCTGGTGGTGGCCTCTGGGCAGGACGGGAGGGTGCACGCCTCGCTCCTCCGGGAACGGCGGCGGTTTTGAAGGATCCGGCGACCCCTCGGATTATCGCCTGAATCGGATACTTGTCGTGCGTGCGCGTTCCTGCATGGATGCGCTTGGCGGCGTCCATCCGTCGCGGCGGTGGTCTTCGGTGCCGCGTGGGCCCTCGGGGAGGGGAGCGAGGCCGCAGAGAACGAGGACGGGGGGGAGGAGCCGGGGCAGCAGCAGCAAGAGGTTTCTGGCCGCCCGCGGTGTCTGACCGCCAGCAGCGTCTGGCTGCCAACTTGACGCAGCATGCCCTGGCGCGCGGTTACGGCAGCTGGAAGCAGCCAGGCGCGCGCGTGATCGGTTTCTTATTCATGGTTTCGCAGATCGGCGCGGGCCCCCGTCCCCCCCCCCCTGGAGTAGGTCTTGGCTTTTTTCGGTGCCCGTCTCGAGCAGGTGGAGTCTCCCCCACAGGACGCACGGTTGCAAACAGTCGCAGCAAGCACAGGTCGGGAGCCAGACCCCCGCCCCTCCCCCCCCATTCCACCCAATGTCGAAACGCTGAACAAGAAAGCGCTCACGTGTCTGACCATCAGTTTCACGCAGCGCCCTCCAGTCGTGCATGTGCCGACGGCAGCCGGAGGCGGCCAGGCTCGCGCACATCCATAACTAATGCTCGGGGGCAGCGTCGCAGTGTCAGGTTCAGTTTCGGTGCAGTTTTCAGCGTTTGACCGTTCTCGCTGCTGCACTTGGTCATCTCGAGAAGGACCCAACCATGTGGAAGCGTGGGTACCGCAAGGCAAGAGGAACGAAGGAGGGGGATCTTTTTCTGTGGCGCTACGAGGCGTGTACGGGTGTGCCGAACTGGGCTGGGAGCCGTCGGTGGGCGCACCCACTGGAAATGTGTGAGGGATGCGCCGAAATGGAGGGAAACCGCTGTAGACGCACGCCCTGGGGACTCAGGTGGAGCTCACGATGGGGGTGCGCCAAAATGGACGGTGACCCGCATGTGGACGCACACGCTGGGGCCTTCGGTGGAGCTCCCTAACGTGCCACGAAACGTGTGAGGAGAGTGCCAGAGCGGGCGGGAGCCGCATGTGGACGCAACTATTGGGGCCTTCGATGGAGTTCCTTATGGGGCCAGGAAGCGTGTGAGGGGTGTGCCGGAATGTGCGGGGAGCCGCATGTGGACGCACCCATTGGGGCCTAAGGTGGAACCCCCTATGGGTCCAGGAAGCGTGTGAGGGGTGGACCAGAATGGGCTGTGGAGCTGCATGTGGATGCACACATTGGTGACACGAAGCATGTGAGCGGTGCGCCAAAGTGGATAGGGAGCCGCATGTGGACGCGCCCACTGGGGCATTAGGTGGAGCTCCCTATGGGACCACGAGACGTGTGGGGTGTGTGCCAGAACGGGCCGGGGGTTGCCACCCGCCGCATTTGGGTTTTCGGTGGGGCCCCCAATTCTTGACACTTCGCGTGTCCCCACCAGTTTAGGCTTGCCCGTCGGCCCGGGCACCCTGTTCGCCGCATGCGCTCTTCGCTTGCGGCCGCGACCAAAAAGTGTCCCCACCAGTACATCGCAATGTGGGTAATCGGCCCCTGGCGCTGTCGACCCCTGGTGCCCACTCTGCCTGCCGTGCTGGCGACGTCCATCCCGCTTGCTCTCCGCGCAATACGCGGTTCTCTTCGTCTCTCTTGTCGTGGCCACGGGCCGGGCCCACAGGTGCCATCGCCTTCAGGCATCGTTACCAGTTGATCGGGACTGGCGTGCACCCCTGGATACTTGTGTGGCGTTTCGGAGTGGTCCAGCCTTCCGTCGTACGCTGTGCAACCATCCTCGTCCCGTCCCAGGCGATCAGGCAGGTCTACGCCGTCGATACGGCCCTGGCCCGTGGCGCCCCCTGGCGACATGACCAGTGTGTACCTAGCCTTTCCCCACTGCAGTGTTCGTGAGGAGTGCTCGCGCAGGCCATTCTCTGCCTGCCTCGACGTGCACCTTCACCGTGGTGGACTGGCGCCGCGGCGCAAAACACTGAATTCCATTGCATTTTGCCACAGGTCTGCATGATGCTCGAGCTTCCCTGAGCGTTGCAGCTCACCCAGCCAGCACCCCCGCCGCCGCTGCCTCAGCTGCTGCCTCTGAGGGCTGGCCTGGCCGGCTCGCGCTGCGCCCTGCAGCTAATTAGGTTTGCCCGTCGGCCCGGACACCCTGTTCGCCGCCTGCGCTTTTCGCTTGCGGCCGCGACCAAAAAAAGTGTCCCCACCAGTAAGCTTGGATGGCGCGCGGCTGCCTGCGTCGCTCGTGAGTCAAAAGTGTCCCCGACAGTCGCTGCGCCCGTAGCCCGGGTCGACCCTTGACGCCGCCTGCGCCTTCGCTTGCGGCCGCGAAACAAAAACCAAATCCCCACCAGTCCATCCAGAAACGATTGCCAGGGGAGTTGCTCGAAGCAGGGCAGTGCAGACGCATGCTGTGGAACGGTTGCCTTGGAAGCGTGTAGGGGGCCGCAGAAGCTGTGGGCTCATTCGTTGAATGGCTGAACAAGTTTTCCCAAACCGCCCCGACTTTATTTGGTTATTATGTATGATTTATTGGAGTTATCTTGCTTCTCTCTCTCTCTCTGTCTCTCTCTCTCTCTCTCTTTCTCTCTCTTTTTAAATTAAAGGATGATTGGGCACTTCGGCTCTCGTTGCGTCCGGGATCGTTAGGAGCGATTGCCAGGCGAGCTGCCCGAATCAGGGAATTGTAGAGTCGGAGGTTGGGGGGTGAGATCGAAGTGGAACGGAGAGCCCCCCTACGGGGAAAATCGATGTCGGTTTCGTGTCGTGCCGCGCGTGCGGGCGAGGCGACGCTGCGTGGGCGGGGGAGAGGAATTCTCCTGTGGCTGGGCCGCGGCTGGACCAAAAGGTTCTCCGCCCGGCAACTGGTGGCGCGCGGTGTCCCGCCGGTGTCCCGCCGGTGTCCCGCTGGTGTCCCGCTGGTGTCCCGTCGTGGCTGGTCCGCGGCCGGACCAATCTCCGCCCGGCAACCGGTGGCACGCGGTGTCCCACCGGTGTCCCGCTGGTGTCCCGCTGGTGTCCCGCCGGTGTCCCGTCGTTGTCCCGTGGTGTCCCGTGGTGAGATCGACAGTGAGATCGATAGTGAGATCGATAGTGAGATCGTTGATGAGACCGATAGTGAGATCGATAGTGAGATCTATAGTGAGAGGTTGATAGTGAGATCTATAGTGAGATCGATCGTGATATCGATCGTGAAATCGATAGTGAGATCGATCGAGTGGGATCGGTCGCGAGATCGATAGTGGAATCGATCGTGAGATGAATAGTGAGATCGATGGCGAGATTGATAGTGAGATCGATAGCGAGATCGATAATGGCTTCGATAGTGGGATGGACAGTGAGATCGATTGTGTCCCGTCGGTGTCCCATCGGTGTCCCGTCGGTGTCCCGTGGTTTCACGTGCTGATATTGGTAGCGATACCCACTGGCATCGTCAGAACAACAATCACCACTGTTGCCCATTGCTGGCCCCCCCCCCCAACCCCCTTATCACCCGCAGGGTGGTCGTATAGGTCATGCAGTTGAAAGGTTGCCTTGGAAGTGTACGGGGACCGCAGAAGCGGCGGGACAATTTGTTGAATGTTTGAACACATGTTCCCGTGAGCCCTGGCTTTGTACCCAACCATCCTGTTGTATTGGGTCCTCGTTTTGAAGACACAGCCTCCGCGTCCCTCCTCTCCTCTCTTCTCCTCTCCACTCTTTTCCTCTCCTCTCCTCCTCTCCCACTCCTCCCTCCTCCCTCCTCCAATCCTTGCCCCTGGCATCCGCATGTCTCTGTTTACGGACACCCTACACACGTGTCGTCGCCCCATAGGGAGCTCAATCGATGGCCCCGGTTACTGCGTTTGCGTGCGCCAGCCGCGCCCTTCTCGGGACACGCCTCACACGCTTTGTGGCCCCACTGGGAGCTCCGCCAAAGGCCTCTGTGGCTGCGTTCGCATGCGCCCGCCGCATCCATTTCGGTACACCCTTCACGTTTCGTGACCCCGTAGGGAGTTCCACCAAAGGCCCCAATGGTTGCGTTCGCATGCGACCGCCGCAACCATTTCCGCACACCCCTCACACGCGTCGTCGCCCCATAGGGAGCTCTACCGGAGGCCCTAGAGGCTGCGTTCGCATGTGGACGGCTGCACCAATTTCGGCACACGCCTCACACGTTCTATGACCCCATAGGGTGTTCCACCGAAGGCCCCAGTGGCTACGTTTGCATGCGCCCGCCGCACCAATTTCGGCACACACACACACACGCCTCACACGCTTCATGGCCCCATTGGGAGTTCCACCGAATGCTCCAGTTGCTGCGTTCGCATGCGGCCGCCGCACTCATTTCGGCACACCACTCCCCGTAGGGAGCTCCCCCGAAGGCCACAGTGTGTGCGTTTGCATGCGCCCGCCGCGCCATCTCGGCACACCCCTCACACGTTTCGTGGCCCCATTGGGAGCTCCACCGACGGCCGCAGTGGCTGCGTTCGCATGTGCCCGCCACACCCTTTCCGGCAAACCCCTCACACGCATCGTGGCCCCTCAGGGAGCTCCACCGAAGGCCTCAGTGGCTGCGTTCGCGTGCGCTCGCCGCACCCATGTCGGCACACCCGTCACACGCTTCGTGGCTCCATAGGGTGTTCCGCCGAAGGCCGCAGTGGCTGCGTTCGCATGTCCGTGCCGCACAGTTTTCGGAAACGCTTTCTGGCCCCGTAGGTAATTCCACCGAAGGCCCCGATGGTTGTTTTCGCGTGCGCCAGCCGCACCCATTTCGGCAAACGTTTCGTGGCCACACAGGGAACTCCACCGAAGGCCGCAGTGGCTGCGTTCGCATGCGCACGCCGCATCCTTCTCAGCAAAACGCTCACGCGTTTTGTGGCCCGATAGGGAGCTCCACCGAAGACGATACTACAGCTGCTTTTCTCCCAACCGCATACGGTTGGTTCCTTGGCCAGGCGAACGTGATGTTATTGGGACGCCTTCTTGGAGGTAGATTGGAGTCCTTGCCGCCCTACAGAAGTGATGCACATATTATGCTTACTTCATCCAGGACCGCATTCGGTGGGGCTCTCAATTATAGGGCCACAACGCGTGTGAGGAGTGTGCCGAAATGGGCTTGGGGACTGCGTGCGGCACCACCCTCGGTGGTT